TGGCTCTTCTGGATCTCGTACATCAACCCGCTCTACTTTGCCTTCTCGGGCGTCATGATGAACGAGTTCAAGGACCTCAGCCTCGCCTGCGTCGGCACGTACATTGTGCCGCGCAACCCGCCCGGATCCAACGCGTATCCCAACGACGTCGGTGCCAACCAGGTGTGCACTCTCCCCGGTGCTCAGCCCGGTAACCAGTTTGTTGCCGGCAACGACTACTTGCGCGCCAGCTTCGGCTACGACTCGAGCGATCTCTGGCTCTACTTTGGCGTGGTCGTCATCTTCTTTGTCGGCCTGGTTGCCGTCACGATGATCGCCATCGAGGTGTTCTCGCACGGCTCCTTCTCGAGCGCTCTGACCATTGTCAAGAAGCCCAACAAGGAGGAGCAGAAGCTCAACCAGCGTCTCAAGGAGCGTGCCTCGATGAAGGAGAAGGATGCCAGCAAGCAGCTCGACGTCGAGTCGCAGCCGTTCACCTGGGAGAAGATCCGCTACACGGTGCCCGTCAAGGGCGGCAAGCTGCAGCTTCTGGACGACGTTTACGGTTACTGCCGCCCTGGTACCCTGACGGCGCTCATGGGTGCCTCGGGTGCCGGAAAGACGACTCTGCTCGATGTGCTTGCCGACCGCAAGTCGATCGGTGTCATCAGCGGCGACCGTCTGATTGGCGGCAAGAAGATCGGCATCGACTTCCAGCGCGGATGCGGTTACGCCGAGCAGCAGGACATCCACGAGGGCACGTCGACGGTGCGCGAGGCTCTGCGCTTCAGTGCGTACCTGCGCCAGCCGCAGCACGTGCCCAAGGAGGACAAGGATGCGTACGTCGAGGACATTATCGAGCTGCTCGAGATGCAGGAGATCGCGGATGCCATGATCGGTGTTCCCGAGTTCGGTCTCGGCGTCGGCGACCGCAAGCGAGTGACGATCGGTGTGGAGCTTGCTGCGCGCCCGGACCTGCTGCTCTTCCTCGACGAGCCCACTTCGGGTCTGGACGGCCAGACGGCGTACAACGTGGTGCGCTTCCTCAAGAAGCTCGCTGCGTCCGGTCAGGCGATCCTGTGCACGATCCACCAGCCCAACGCGCTGCTCTTTGAGCAGTTCGACCGCCTGCTTCTGCTCGAGCGCGGTGGCAAGACGGTCTACTTTGGCCCCATCGGACCCAACGCGACGCACATTGTCGACTACTTTGCCGAGCGCGGAGCCAAGTGCCCCGAAAAGGTCAACATGGCCGAGTACATGCTCGACGCCATGGGAGCCGGATCGATGAAGCGCGTGGGCAACAAGCCGTGGTCGCAGCTGTACCTCGAGTCGGATCTCTTCCAGGAGAATCTGGCCGAGATTGAGAAGATCAAGCAGGAGACCAACGCTTCCGCCAAGGCCAACGAGGACGAAGGCAAGAAGAAGAAGAAGCAGACCGAGTTCGCCACCTCGTTCGGCACGCAGGTCAAGGTGGTGCTCAAGCGCTCGCTGCTCAGCACGTGGCGCCAGCCCGACTACCAGTTCACGCGCCTCTTCCAGCACGCCGCCATCTCGCTCATCACGGGTCTTTGCTTCCTCAACCTCAGCAACTCGGTCGCTTCGCTGCAGTACCGTGTGTTCGGTATCTTCATGGCCACGGTGCTGCCGGCGATCATCCTGGCGCAGATCGAGCCGTTCTTCATCATGGCACGCTCGGTGTTCATCCGCGAAGACTCGAGCAAGATGTACAGCGGCACGGTGTTTGCGATCACGCAGCTGATCCAGGAGGTGCCGTTTAGCATTGCGTCTGCTGTGGTGTACTTCCTGCTCTTCTACTTCCCCACGGGCTTCCAGACGGGCTCGGACCGCGCCGGCTACTTCTTCGCCATGCTGCTCGTCACCGAGCTGTTTGCTGTGACGCTCGGCCAGGCGGTGGCTGCGATCTCGCCGTCGGTCTACATCGCGTCGCTCTTCAACCCGTTCCTGATCATCATCATGTCGCTGCTTTGCGGTGTGACGATCCCCTACCCGAATCTGCCGCACTTCTTCAAGAGCTGGCTGTACTGGGTCAACCCGCTCACGTACCTCGTGTCGGGTCTGATCACCAACGAGATGCACGAGCTGCCCATCCGCTGTACCGAGTCCGAGCTGGCTCGCTTCCAGCCGCAGTCGGGCCAGACGTGCACGCAGTGGGCCGGCACCTTCCTCAACGCCTTTGGGGGCTACCTCGAGAACCCGGATGCGACGGCCGACTGCGGCTACTGCCAGTACTCGAGGGGCGACGACTTCTACGCCGGCCTTAACATCAGCTTCTCCGAGCGCGGCCGCAACATCGGCATCGTCATCGCCTTTGTTGCCTTCAACGCCATCGCCACGATCGTCGCCTCGCGCTACATCAAGTACGCCAACCGCTAGAGGCGCATTTCCCACACGAACAGTCAAGAGTTTTTAACACAAATAGATACCAGTCTTGTTTCGCCTTTGCATCCTTACGTCTCCCGCCTTTCTTGGCTTTGACTGTCATAATAGATCTTGTTGACCTTAGCCATGTTTGTAGGGTGGTTTTGGGGTCAGCGCTTTGAGTCTTGAGTTTGCAAGTCTCGGGGCTTGAATTTGCGCACTGAGGTGGGGCGAGCGAGGCTGTCCGTGTTGAAGGATGGCTTTTTTGGCAATCGGGATCTAGCGCGAAATTCTGGATTTCTGATCGGCGATTTGAAATCACGTGCGGTCGAGGGGTCTGCGAGTGGTTGGAATCGTCGGCGCCCTGATCCGGGCTCCTGTCGTATCTGCCACTGCATCTTCCTGCTCTCCACCAACGCCATCTTGCACCTCTTTCTTGGCTCTCATTCCACGATGTTTGCGTCACTGATTCTGAGGAATTCGAGCACGTCTACGGGCGCATCGGCGTTCTCGCACGCGCACAAGGCGTACGTCAAGTCGCTCTACCGTCGCTACCTCAAGAACGAGCTGGACTGGTGCATTCGCAGGGACGTATGGCGCGACAGGGCGATCGAGATCCGCGTGGCGTTCGAGAGGAACCGCAACATTCGTAACCCCAGGGAACTCGCCAACCTCTTCGAAAAGGCAGAGCGCGAACTCAAGACCAGGCAACACCCCGACCCCCACCGACGTAAGTCTGCTTCCCCATGCCCAAGTCGATCTCCAACAGCCATGGCAAAGCATATGCATTGGTCCCAAAGAACAGACCATTGCGATGGCAAGAGCAAGCGATCTGCGTCCGATCATGCGGCATTGAATACTGACTTGACAAACCCTATCTTTGCGTGACAGCCGCCATGTTCGAGGACGGCACCAAGTGGGAACGCAACCTGCCGCCGCCCATGTTCACCGAAGCCGAGAAGAAGGCCGCACTCGACGCCCAGCACCACTAAATTGTTCCGCAATGTACGCTCCCGTGCTCGCAATCAACACCGACTCTGAACCCGCTTTTGTTTCCAGCCGGCCGACGGTGCTCAATCCCACCCTTCCCAACGAGCTCGAGTCGAGTTTCAGACAAAGCTCGCTTGCACACGCGCATTCGCAACGCTTCAATCTCGAGGGAAAAGATGATGCTGCTTGGATTAGGTTGCTGGGGCATTTCGCCAGGCGATGGTGCGCACGCCGCGCGGGGTGGCGGCATACAGCACGTCTGCATCCTGTTGGCCGGAATTGGCCCAAAAGGCCTGGACGATGGGCTCGTCCGAGACGCGCAGGTCGACGAGCGGGTCTCTGGCATTGCGCAGATCCCACACGCGCACGTGACCGTCCTCTGCACCGTGAGCAAAGATAGCCCTGCGGCTCGGATGGAACGCGCCACGTCCGAGCGGCAGCTTGCCCTCGGCATCGTTGAGCCAGCCAAACGAGATGACGGGGCGTGAGATGGGCCCGTTGGCGCCGGTGATGTCGAACATGCGGAACTGGTCGTAGTCGCGCCGCGCCAGCACGCCCAGCATGAGCTTGGCATCGGGCGTGCGCTGCAGATGCACAATGCAGTCGCTCGTGTTCCACGAAAAGCCGAGCGTGAGCGCGCCCAGGTCGAAGCCGATCACCGTGCCCATTGAGGCGGAAGCGAGAGTTTGTGCGCGCGACGAAAGATGTTCCAGCGCCACGACCGGCTTGGCATCGTGCAGCGTGTGCAGCCGCTGCGTGTCGGCCGACGTGGAGCGTGCGCGCCAGTGCCAGTGGTTGACAATCCCGTCGATGCCGCCCGTGGCAAAGTCGATCGACGAGGCGTCGTTCGGATCGGTGCGCGGGAAGTGCGACATGGCGGCGGCACCGTGCGCATGCGGCCGCTCGTCGAGATGGTAGGTGCGATGCGCGCGCCCCGTCTCGTCCATAGTCACCAGACTCACCTGGCACGGGTACTCGTCGTACCTGCCCATGCCGAGCAGCTTGCGCGTCGACGACGCGATCCCGCACACCTTGGACGTCAGCCGCCACACGTCCTCCACCCGGTCGATCGGCCACGCCTTGTCGGCCTTGAGCTTGGCCTCGGCGTCGCGCGTCTGCAGCTCCATCACGCGGCTCGGTGCGTCGTCGCCGTAGCTCGGCGCCTCGGAGAACGTCGCGATGCGCCCGTGGTCGGTGACGCCCAGGCCCGAGTCGAACGCAGAGGCACGGTTGCGCACGCCCGTCTGGGCGCCGAGCGCCGCGCTCGCAAGCGGCACAAAGTGCTTGATCGACAGCCCACGCGTGCTCGAGAACGCGCGCGCCTGGTCGAGCCCCCACACGGCGGACTGGAACGCGTGGGAGGCTGAGTAGTCGGCGGCGCTAGTAGAAGAGGATGCAGCCAGCGCAGTTGCAGCCGAGGGCGACTGGCGCCGCAGCAGATCCTGCAGCGGAACATCTTCGTCCGGGTCCGAGTCCGTGCCGCCGGCCTGTGTGGCAGCGGGAGCATGGACAGGCGCATGTAAGGTCATTGCGAGTGGCTGGTCATCGTCGCTATCGTCGTCGCTCTCGTCGTCGTTGTCATCGGCATCTGGCTGTCTCGCTTCCAACAGAATTGCTAGCTCCTGAGCCTGCCGCGCCTCCTCGAGCATGTCATCTTGTGTCTGTTCGGTCTTGAGTGTGGGTGGCTTTGGTGAGCTGGGACGTGGACTGAGGTCGATAGCGCTGAGGACGCCTTTGAGCTGGCCGAATTTGCGAGGACTCGCAGAGCGAGAGCGAGAGCGCGGGTCTCGTTGCACTTTGGGCGTGTGCTTGTTGCCACAAGGGCCGTGTTGAGCAAGCATGGACGGTGGCGGTGTGGGTGTCCGGATATCGTCGCGAGGACTCCTCGGGGCTTGCACGTCATTGTCCGCTTCGGCGCATGTGGGCTGAGCGGGCTCCGCCGGATGATCTTTGGGCGGCTCGGGGTCTGCAACTGAAACCGTGACCGCAACTGATGCCGCTTCCAGTTTTTTTTGCGTTGGCTGAATCGGTGGTGTCGGAGGTGCCGAGGGCTTTTGGATCTCGTCGCTAGCAGCTGTGTCTCGCGCCACGCTCGCATCGTGTGCTGCCGCTTGCATTGGCGGAACGGGCTTGGAGGGAGGAGCTGAAGGTGTACGGACCTCGTCGCTAGCAGCCGTGTCTTGCCGCACGCTCGCATGGTGTACTGGCGCTGGCACTGCTTTGTTCTCGACGCTGGTTGTGACGTCTGGACGTGGTGCGCCTTGACTTTTGATCTTGTGCTGCTGTTTCCAGCGATCGACGTCTTCCCAGTCGATGTGGACGATGCGGCCACCGAAAATGTGGAAGAGATTGGTGAGCACGGCAATGGCATATAACCCAACGTCGTCGGTATCGCGGATGCGGTCGAGCGTGTCGACGATGATGGGATCTTCGGGACGGAGGATCTGCTCTTTGCTGCAGAAAGTGCTCAAGTCGATGTCGGTGGCAGCGAGCCCGAGAATTTGAGTCAAAGCATTTCGGACGTGCTTAACGAGTGCGAATGCGTGTTTGCGTGGCGCGGTGTTGGAGGGCACGAGCAAGGCGGCACATCGGTAGAGCTCGACGCGGATGTGCAGCAGACGAAGCGCCAGCTGCGCGTAGTTGCACAGCGCGAGGCAAGTGGCGGCGGACTGCAAGAGAGGATTGGCAAAGCGGTCTGCGACACCACGGCGAGCTCGACCGCGCTGTTCCTCTGCTAGCGGAGCCAGCTCTTCGCGTATGCGCCTTATTTCGTCTGGAGGATTTCGGCGCAGGTTGGCGATGGCGACGCTTTTCTCGGCTTGGTACTTTGCGTCTTCTGTCCAGAGCGGGATCTCTGGGTTGATGTCGTGTACGGTGATGCTTTTGGGAGTGGCATTCTGAGACTGTGATGGCGCTTGGCCGACAGATTTTAGATGTGTAGAGACGATCGCCTCGTGTTTCGACTTGGGCTTGGGCTTGCTGGACGAAGACTGACCCGAGGCTGGTTGTTGCGGAGTAGGAGGCTGTTGATGGTGCTGCATGGCAGACTGCTGATGCGTTGCCTTGCGCTGACTTCTCGGAGGGCGGTTATGCTGCTGATGGGGAGCTGGTCTCTTCTTCGATTGGGCCTGACCTGAATATGACACTGTTGGTTGCGCCGTTGGTGGTCGTCCTATTGGTGGGCGGCCCATGGCTGGGCGTGATTGAGACCGAGTGACGCTTCCACCGGCGGGCTGGCTGGACTTCGACCTGGACGCACCTATAGAAGGTGGCGCGGCCATCTCCCACGGCTTTAAGCGAATCTGGTACTCGTTGGGCTGGGCATCTTCTGACCTCAGCGCGGCTGACGGTGGAGCAGCTGGTGTCCGCGTCGAGAACCTCTGCGGGGGCCTTGATGCATGCGTTGGTCGACGTGGCCTGGGAATCGCCGACACTGGCTGTTGTGAGGATGCAGGTGCGTGGGTTGAGCTCTGACCTGCTCGAGAGGGGCCCGGAGGCTGCTGAGTCGATGCGCTCCTCGCTCTGCTCGAAGCCGAGGCTGGATCGAAGGCGTCCAGCCAGTCCATGGTGAATAGCGCCTAGAGGAAGGGATGTTGCGCGCGACTATACTTGCAGCATCGGCATCTCCGCAGCCCGAGCCTCGATGCGCGAGACAGGCGGCTGATCCGACGAGGTGATGGAGGCAAAGGTGTTGAGGAATGATCACAAGCACGGCCGTTCCAGGCGCTCCTTCTGCGCTGCCCTTTCAGGGTCCACACACAAAAAAAAAAGGACGAAAAAAAACCTCCACCGACCAGCGACCGGCACACGCCCCCATCGCGACTTGCGCAGAGTCGGATGTTCCGAACATTGCTTCGTGTCTTCACACACAAGCTGCACAGACACAAGCTGCACAGACAACCGTGGGAAACTGGGACAGGGAAGTGATGCGATTGCGTTGCATGGCTTGGCTCCGAGATTAAGTTAGGTTGTGAATTCAGATGAAGCCGCCTCGCGATTCGAGCTGCCTTTTGCGCTCCTCTGCGGCGGCGAGGCGCTTTTCGAGCTGCTGCAGCTCGTTGGTCTGTTCGAGCAGCATGGACTGGCGCTGTCGGACGCGCTCCTCGATCTTGCTCAGCTCGGCGCTCTTGGTCGTAGCTCCAGCCGTGGCGGGCACTGCAGCTGCTGCTGGTGGCGAGACAAAGTCGTGCAGCGAACCCGAATTCGAGACCGGAATCGCTGGCCTGGCGTGTCGAGAATACAAAGCAAAGGCTTTCCACGGGTCAGCTTCTTCTCAGTCTTTTCCGCAGAGGGCGACAACAATGGCAACGATGGCAAGGCGATTAAATATGGCATTCTTTGCTCAGCAAGCGTCGGAGACAGTCTCCGTGAGCAAAATCTATCGGTATGGCCACAGCCATAGGAGGCCCAGGAGGAGAAGAATCGGGGGAGATGCTCACAGAGCAGAGTTGGTGTTCTTGCCGGCAGCAGCCATGTCGCCCGACGTGGGCTCGGCGACCGCACCACCGGTGGCAACGTCCTGCACGTGCACGAGCGGGCAGGCGTCCGAGTCGACCGAGGCCGGGTCAAACTGGAACAGTCGCACCTCGGCGTTCTTCCAGGGCTGTTTCGCAGTCAAGAACAACTTTCACGTCAGCTCGTCTGGAGGGGCTCGTATCAGCGTCGGTGTACTGTCACTTACGTAGGGCTCGCCGGTGATTCTGCGCAGGATGTCGCCGTGTGCCATGACGACGATGTCCTGTTCGGGCCTGCTGCGGAGGTACTGACGCACCCACTGCGCACGGTTGTTGAGCGACGCCTGGTCGGCGGCGTAGAAGCCCTGCTTGCTCGTCCAGTCGGGCGTGAGCGGCGAAAAGTCAAAGCCCTGCAGCTCCGGATCGCGCTCAAGCACCTCCTTGGCCGAGCCCGTATCGCAGGGAAAGTCGTTGCACTCCTGCAGCTGCGGCAGCAGCACCACCTTGCCCAGACCACCCAGACGCTCGATGGCGGGCGCGTAGCCGATCTTGGTGCTCTGCAGCGTGCGCTTGAGCGCCGAGGAGAGGATCACCTGCGCACGCGCCTGCAGCTCCTGCGTCAGCGACGGTAGCCGCCCCGACTGCTGCTTGCCCAGCGGCGTCAAGGGCGCNAGCGCCGAGGAGAGGATCACCTGCGCACGCGCCTGCAGCTCCTGCGTCAGCGACGGTAGCCGCCCCGACTGCTGCTTGCCCAGCGGCGTCAAGGGCGCATCCGGGATCGAGTAGTCGTCCGCCACGTTGTGCTCGGCCTGCGAGTGGCGTGTCAGGTAGATGCGAGATTGCGGCGCCATCTTGTCACAGTTCCAGTTCTATCGCGCGTCTATCGTCTAGATTTGTAGAGGGAGAAGAGGGTTGGTGTATGCAGGCGAGGAAGGAACAAGTGTACGCCTTTAGTTGTGACTCGCGGTGGGACGGCCATCTCTGGCGTGGCATGCAGTCGCGGCGCCGCAACGGCGAATTCCTCGCTGCATCGCTGGCTGTTGCTGTGCTCTGACGTGCGCCCGAAATCCGCCATGCATTTGGGGCGCCCGCCAACACACGGGCCATCCCACGCCCGAAAAGGAATACACCGAGATCTCAACCCGATTTTCCGCACATGCAGCGCATGTTAGTTCGAACCAACACCAGCCTCGCCACCCTCGCACTCCATCCTGGCTCTAGCTTCGGACAATCGTCATGGATGCTCTTGTGATTACTCTGGAGGTAGTGCTGAGACGACGCCGCGGTGTGGATCCCAAACGTGTCCCTCCTTGGCCCACCGCCACACGAGGTAGGCTCGAAGCTCCTTGTCGAGCGGCATGACCGACATCCATTCGGGCTTTTCGTCTACCTCGCTCTTGATCGGCTTGTAGCATTCTCGCGCCGAAGTGTCAAATGGGCTTGTGGGTACGTCGCCATGCAGACCGACAGCTGCTCCGCCTCGACACACAAAGATGCGCCAGCTATCAATCGCGTACCGCCCCACGCCGGGGTAGACACCAATCGGCGTATCGGGTGCGCTTCTATCCCTGCTCTTGAACAGATTGGCTTCATCGTAGGGAATTTGCACCATGGTTTGGGCCATTGCGATGAGTCTCCGCGCGCGGATATTGTGAAGTCCAAGCGGCTGCAACAGCGTCGTCAGTTCTGCCAAGTCGGCGTTGGCGAGCGCAGATTCGTCGGGCCACCGTTCAAGCAGCTGCCAAAACACAGGCATCGCCGCCCGTCCTTTCGTCTGGTTCAGCAGACACGTCGCAGTCAAGAGCCGAAAGACGTTGGGACACACCAGCTCCTGGATGAGGCCGTAAAAGTTGGGCTGCCGCGCAAGTCCGTGCACCCGAACCACCTCGCCTGGATCCTCGCTTTCGACCTTGACCGCCGCTTTCCCCTTGTCGACTTTGACCACTGGTTTGACGGCACCCTGCGTGTTCGACGATCGTCGTGCTACTTTGGCCGCAAAGTACGGCGAAGTCTTGTGGCGGATCCGACCACTCCGTCTTGGCGGTGCGGCGGCCGGCGTGCTGGATCGTTGCTTGCGTGCTGTCATCACGCACCCTCTATCAGCCCTTCTAGAGCCAGATTTGGCATCCTCGGTCCCTTGCTCGTCATCCACCTGTAGTCAGTCTTTCAGTAGCAGACATGGTGGGTGGGGGAAATGAAGGCCCTTTTCTCCGGTGGCGCAGTTTGCACGCAGGGTCCATGCCGTCCATGCGCGCGCGCGCCTAAAAAGACGCCGCCAATATTTCCCGCCCCGAGTCCAAAGCCCAAGCTCGCACCAAGGTCCAAGCCAGCACGGAGCACACACGAGTGTCGACCGGGTATACTGCGCATTCGGAACGAAAGAGCGCTACAAATGATCTAGCAAGAGTGCTTTCAAGCAAGATGGATGGGGCCGGGACCGGACTGCACGTCGTCATCGGCACGCTTGCGTCCCACAAAGCGGACGGCGTGCACGATGAGCGCCAACGACACGCGAATCACGCTGAACAAGGCGAGGAAGAGCACGGTCTGCGTGAGGATCAGTCCCGCCGTATCCTCGACGTGCAGACCGGTGGTGTTGTACAGCATCCAGCGCCACGCATGGTCGATCCACGTGGCCACCGCATTGTCCAGACCCGTGGAGGGCGTGCCGACGTACTTGCCAAACACCTTGAGCTGGCACGCCGGATCGATCTGCATGTGGATGCCGTGGCAGAGCTCCATCTTGAGCGCGCCGCGACGATCGAGCTTGCGCAGCCCGATGCGGTCGTCCAGATAGATGCTGCTCTGGCGCAGCGGCGTGGGCTCGTTGGGGTTCGGATCGCGCCCCGCCTCGCCCTCGCTCTGGTTGCGCACCGAGTACGAGGCAAACCACGAGGACTGCTTGGGCTCCACCGTGGTGTCCTTGTCAAACATGAGCATCACAAAGTTTTCGAGCGAGGCGAGGTTCTTGGCGTACGTGGCGTTGGTGGTGGTGCCCTCGTTGTTGATGTCCTTGATAAAGTCGTTCTTGTCCAGGTACGCTGCAAACGCCTTGGGGTCCTTGGGATTGCGGTAGTACTGTGCGCTCACCAGGTGCGACTGCGCATAGTCGGTGTAGATGCCGCCACGCAGCGCAGCCTCGGCGACGCGGCAGAGCAGGTCGGTGGGGCCACATGCTGGCAGATCGGCGATGCCCATGTGCTGGCTGCCAAACGTGATGAGATTGCGAACCTTGGGCGTGTTGCAGCGCTGTACGTACGCGCGGAGGAACTGTCCGCCCTGGGAGAATCCGATGGCATCGAAGCCACCCTGCAGCTCGTCGATCTGAGCGAGCTGGTCACACGCCTGCTGGACCTGGTCGTTGACGTGGCCGAAGAAGCCATGCCTCCTGTCTTCCGCGTCGCTGGTAGCGTCCTGCGTGACGGAATGGACGTAGAGGCCTGGGAATGCTTCCTTGAGCTGGGACATGAACGATTCCATGCCCTCTGAATGCGCGCTGTCGCCGAGACCATGCCAGATGACGAGTGGATGCGGTTTGGGCAGCATGGAGAAGGGCACGGCCTCGGCATGGCTCGCCAAGGTGACCACCGAGGCGGCGAGCACGAGCAGCCAGCCGGCAATGAACGCGCGCATCTCAAGAGTCGAAGAAGCGGG